ACATCAAGGACGGCACATCTTTCGAAGAAGAAAAGATAAGTAATATCAAAATCGATGAAGACAACTCTGCATCCTCTACTGCAACGGATGCAACAGCGAGATTTCTAAGAGAAGTTGGTTCAAGAAAACGTGAATCGTTGTTGGATTTCACAGAAGGCTTTTGAGTTAGATAGCTAACTAGGGTAGCTAACGACTACGTTGAAGCAAGTTTAATAACTCACTGATATGACCGTTTTGTATGGACAGTTGTTCGCTTTTGAGCCTGAAGTTGCTTGAGTAATTGCTCGTTCTGAGCATGGGCACGCTCGCTCTGCTCCCGAAACAGCTCCGTTTGCTTCTGCACCATAACGGTAAGGCTTTCGCTCCCTTCGCTTTTCGCACGGATGCAAGCCCCTTTCCTATTGCCTCCAATCCCTCACTAAACCCTTTGGCAACAGCGCTCAAGCCAGCTTCGACACACTCACCCTGCGTTCGCACACGCTTCACACGCTTGCTTGAGCTTGCAGAACATGCTTCTGACAAGGTGCGACGCTCATGCCTTTCGGAAGAGGCTGAATCCGACGTCATCGAGGCGTCGCCACTTGTAGCTTCACAGACTGTCGAGATAGTGTCTGAATCTTCCGTGATTAAATAAGGGCGGTTGTTCATCCCAGTCGCATCTCCCCAGTAGTCCTTCATGATAGTGAAGTGCTTTGGGTGCCTCACTGGGCCACCGTTGCCTGTGCGTCCTTCTGCCTCGCGCGCCGACGCCCACTTCGATTTCATGTTCTTCATCTGTATCAATACAACCAGTTTAGCAGGCTTTGGGTATCCCTAGTACTCCAGTGGACGTTACCTTAGCTTGGCACTGCTGATCGGTGAGCACCTTCCCTTGATTTACAGAGAGCGTTGAAGCAAGAAGTGCCCATGCATACTTGATGCGCTTCGTGTCTCTCGTATTCTTAAAGCGATTCACCAGTCCCTTGTAGCGAAGACGAAATAGCTCTTCCACGTCTTCGTCGCTCCAAGACGCAGTCGTCTTGGTAGCTTGAGCCTCTCGCTCTCTGGGAAGCGCGGCCGTTCCCCCCTCGGCGCCGCTGATGTCTGCATCCACATTGCTCGTGGTTTGCTCTCGAATGCTATCGACAGCAGCTTGGTCGCTGCAGCCAGCAGCCTCACCCAAAGCGATGCGTGTGGTCTGGGTTTGCTCCATTCAGTATCGAGTTCTCGAAGTGTGAAGTGTACACAACATTTTCAAAACCAAGACGATCGGCGAATCAGCCGACCAGGTCGGCTCAGGGTTAGGCTGCAGAAGACGATCGAAACCGAGACGATCGTTCCCCGACCAGGCCCTTAGGGTAAACATGTTTTGTCTTCTATTTGGTGTGTGAAATATACACCATGTTGTCTCATTCATTTGCGGTAAACTCTAGATTCGGATCGTGCACTTGGGTATCGTGTTAGCTCTAGATATTTTTTTTGTTTTTGTTAGTGCTTTTGATCATAATACCAGCATACCATATCAAAGTAGTATAGCAAACGTACCAAACTACCAAGTCACTTTACCGATCAATACTAAGGGTCCAAGTAATATGTATTCGGTTTAAGTTAGCTGGCTGCCTGCTTTCCAATAAAAGCAATCGCTTTGTACAAAAAGTGCATGCGCAAGTATGGCAACCCGGTTGTAAAGGCGGTCATCCCAAGAGGCACCACTAAACAGCATTTCGAGTATGGCAATGCACCACACTCCGCACGAGCTGTCATCCTTTTGTTTGCAGCACTCCACCTTCTCAAAAGTCAGCATGTTTTCCATATGTAGAAGCCCCTCGATAGCGGAACGTATGCTACGCTCGACGGTAGTGTAGCTGTGTTGGCTCTGTAGGGGGTCGAACATGAAACCGACGCCCTTGTTCGTCTCAAGCTGGATGTGTCGGTCCACTAGGAATGCAACCCAGTGATTACCCACGTTTAAAGCTCCAATGACACGCTGATACTGCGAATTCCCAGTTCATACTCGTGACGTGACTTCCTGGCCGTGTATACACTTACAGGTGATGGTGTAGTGCTCCCAGTCGGTAGCTATCAAATCCATTACCTTCCCTTGCCGGCGGTTTTAAGGGCTTCAGCATTCTTCGTCATCTGGTTGTTTCGGATCGTTACTGACGTTTCGAGAATTGCTGGTATGTCTCCCGCTGGAACACTTCGAACGCGGCGTGAAAAGCCTCCCAGGAATCGTAGGTCTTCTTCAAAGTCCCGACACGTACAGGAACACATACGTTTCTGTTTTTCGAAAGTGTTTCGTGTAGTTTTGGTGCAGCACCAAATTTAGACTCTCCAATCCCCCGTCTTCATCAGATTCTTCGTCTTTTCCCTCCTCGCTTATTCCGTCCACCTCATTCTCATTACTACTTCCCTCTTCTGCTTCTAGCATATCATCCAGTTCCTTTTTGTGCGGCGCATCGTGAAAGTCAGAGCCATATTTCCCATCAGCTGAGGGCAGAGGATCTGCGTCTTTGAGAGCATCTGCATCTTCTTCCGCAACAATGACCTCAGCCAAAGCACGGTCATTATTGGTCGACTCCGCTGCGAACGTCTTTGTTGGATACATTAGTCGCAGAGTTCGAGTTTCCCATAGCTCATCGCCTGACCAGTCTTCGCGATTCCTCCTCGGCTTTGCGGCGGTCTTGCGAGTAGCTTGCAGCTGATCGTCTATGGCGAGGTGCGCAGCTTGCTCCTCCTGGCGAGAGCGCACAATTTGCTCTGCGTTATGAACCGCCTGTGATAACTGATTGTGCACAACAAGAGGAGGGAGCTTAGACCCAGCCGGCCCAGGCTGATTCCTCAACTGACGCTCATTCTGACGGATCTGAGCGCGCGCAGGCTCTGCTATGCCCGTTGCGCACACGTGACTTTACCGTCGCTGGGATAAGGAGGGAGGTTGTCACTGTCCGCCTGTCATACGTACAAGTTAGCTATTTTCACACAACCTTCTATTTGTAGCACTCAAACATACCATGCCAAGAAATCAGCTTTAGGGCTTGAGCCGCACCAGGAATCGTTTGTTTTGCCGCCGAAGGGGAAGATTATCGAGGCCAGTCGCTTCGAAAGCACGGGCTTCAAATTTTTAAAAAGTTGAAAGATTCCCGCCCGTAAAGTATATTATTTTTTATTCAGCTCAAATTCAACCCGAAACGCGATAACTGGCTCTATATGTATATGACAAGACGTACACTGAAAGTAGAGGCTAATTTCGGTAGCAGCAGCGTGTTCCATCTTTTTCGTGGCCCACCACACCATAATTTTCAGACTTGCCGGCAATGCCACGTAAACGTAAACGAAACTTAAACCACGTGCTCTTTCGCAACGCCTTCCGCAGTGTCACGGGGCTCTAACTGTGAAGGACGCTACCGCCGCTTTCTCGCAGCTAAGTCGATGTCTTTCGAGTTTGAGAATCAGAGTTTGGGACGCACTCTCCCTCGTGTGTGGACAAGTCGGTAAGGAACCTAAGTGTGTGTGTGGGGGT